AGGTCTAGTTTTAATCTTTGGCAAGTTGAAACCCAATTTTTCCAGCACCGTTTATTGAAGAGGCTATCTTTCCTCCCTTGAGGGTGTTTGGCTCCTTTATCGAAGATGAGATGGCTGAGTGTGTCTGGCATTGTTTCTGCATCTTCTAATCTCAAACAGATTTTCTGTGGCACTGATTAAGACTATTTGTATAAACCTAAAGCAGTTATACAACAGCCTACCAATATTTTGACATCCTTGGTGATTGTCAGTGCCTGCTTTAGTTTATTTATTTTGTTGTGCTGGGGACCAAACCCAGGGCCTCACTCAGGAAGTACTTTGCCACTGAGCTACATCCCTAGGCCAGTGGCTGCTTTTATTTATTTTATTTTATTTTTTTGGACAGTCTGGCTATATTGCCCAGGCTGGCCTCAAACTCACAGCAATCCTCCTGCCTCACTCTCCCGAGTGGTAAGATTTAGGTGTGCGCCACCATGCCCAGCTCAGTGGCTGCTTTTAAAGAGGAAGGAAGTGATAACTTCTGAAAATGTGTACCTTTTGCTCTAATCTGCTAAAATATTGTCTTGGTCATTAAAATGCTATAACAACATACCTTAGATTTGGTAATTTATAAAGAGAAATTTAAAATGTTTAAATGTATACATGATTGCAGTACATAATGATTCATTGTGGAGAGCTGGTACATGAACATAACATCTTCTTTTTAACCTCCCTTCCCCTCCTCTCCTAAACAACAGAATTTTTGTCCACAACTGTGGGGACAGGGGATCCCAACATAAAGCACCAGCAGATTTAGTGTCTGGTAAGGGCCTGCTCCTCCTGGTTTGTGTCTTCTCTGTGTCCTCACCTTGTCACTGGGCTGGTTCTAAAAGTCCTTGAGGCTGAAATAAGGAACTTAACTCACCCTTTTGAAGAAGGTTCACTGACTCGTCAAGGAAAAAGAATTTTTAGAATGCAACAGTAACAGGCTCAGGAAAGGTTTATTAGATAGAGATTTAGGACTTAATCAAGAGCGAGTGCAGGCACTTAGAGAAATGAGATTACAGTTTGGAACTGGGAACATTCTTACCTCTTAAGAAGGGGTGGAAAACCCAAGGGAAGGTGGCCCACTCTCTAGAAGTGTATTAGCCTATTTTATAGGCATGAGTAGGTTTTTTTT